TGAAAAGTACTAGAATTATAAACTTTCTACATCAATAAATTACTGTATCAATAAAACACCAATCAACTACTATGTTAGCCATCATCCATCTAATTAGATTTGTAACATCCAAGTAATATTTAATCCTTGTGCATATAAATATTTTCATTTACTATTTTAATCTTTAGTGTATAACAGGGGATCAAAACCCCTGTAGTAGAAGATTGCCATCTAGCGTTAACTATTTAACAGTATGCTAGTGTGACATTAGCCAGCTAAATCATGTGTAAGAAGTGATGCATGAACAATAAAGGTGAAAAGCTTAATATGTATCTAGACCAGTGTTCCACAACCTTTCTTCACCTTTATATGTCAAAGGCACATGATAGCACACCACAAAATTTCACCTCACAAACAGGGGGTACAAAACTACACATGGTCATAAATTTTTATCTACATATAATCCCTTGTTCCATAAGAGTGCAGGCATATGAAAACCAAACATAACCCATATTGAAAGAAAACTCTATCAAAGATGAACCAGTGTGTTTGTGTGTGCGTGCACATACATACGCATATTATGAATTATAATTACGAAAGATATTTCCTTTGTCTAACTTTCAGATGCGAATGTACAATTTCTTAAAAAAAATCCACAGCACACCTGAAACCTTGTGGCAGCACACTGCTTGCAGAACACTGATCTAGACATTATTTTCATACATTTCCTGTTGTATCATTTCTTAAAACACAAAAGCAATTAACAATTTATAAATGATTAGCACATAAGAAATAAGTTAGCACACAGACATAAAACATCAAGGAACAATATAGCTTCAAGAACAAAGGATCAAGAGTTGGTTTAACCTTCACAATGCAAAAAATGATTCAAAGAAAGTGAGCATAAGGACAGGAGATTATGGCTTTCATTTACATAAATAAAGCATATGGCAGTCTAAATACAAGTAACATTTGGTTTCATATGCAAAAACTGAATGTAAATGAACACAAAATCCAGACATTGAAACACGGTTTTTGAAATATAACAACTGATGGTAATAAAACATTTTAAAAATATTTCATGTAACAATGTTATGAATGTAACTGGAATATTATCTAATGAAACTAACTTCACATTTCTTGGATATTGGCATATTCTGCTAAAATGGATACGTATAAAGATTAACTTGTAACACTTCACATCCACCTGATCATTATATCCAAGAAGGAAATTTTCAGAATAGTACCTTAACACATCTCTCATAACAAATTTCACAGTTTGAATCATTATCATTATTATTTTTGAAGCTTTAATTGTATAGAATTTTCAGTTACTTTGTTCATCAAACCTTCTTAAAAAAAGATATCTTTGTTTTTACATAATGGATAACTGATTTTCACATGTATGCCAAGTTTAGTTAGTAGCAGCATTTTGTTTTATTAACATTTTATTACACTTCTCTGTGAATCTGGGCAGCTATATTTCTTGTAAACTTAAAAATAAAGTAAGGAACATGGTACTTTCATCTTTCTGACGTATTATAGATACAGTGCTTACTGATTATAATATTGAAATGTGTGACAGCTACTAGATCATAATCTCATTGGAGGGCTAGAATAACTGCTTTTGGTTTCAGTTTCAAGAAAACTTGATTGTCATTAAAGTTCCTTTCTTTGGGCAGAGATGAATATCAACACGTGTTTTACCAAAAACAATTCTAAATGAAGACACCTGAGAAAGTTACAGTTAGATAATAAATTTGATATCTGCTCCTACTACTATAATAGAATGATTGTTCTAAGTCAGGCATTACACTTTAGAATTTCCTCTTTACTTCACAAAACATCAGATAATAAGCAGCTGTATTCATCTTCAGAAGGTGAAAAACTATTCATTGCACTATCTCAAAGAAATGGAAGAGAGCCTCTACATTTAACTAGTTGATTGCCAATGTTCATCAAAATAATATTTAAAATTTCAGTTCCCACTTCAAGGAAAATAACTCCATTACAGATATCACTTGGGTAATGCTGTTTAGAAAAATGATTGCCATTTATTCTGATAATTATAAAGAACACATAAATACACTCTATGGGTAAAGTGAAGAGTTACTGAATATTAAAGCATGAGGCACATAGTTGCAACTGTGATTTAATAGGTTAACGAATTATGAAAAGTGATGGATCACTGTCAGTATAATCCCACAGCTGCACAGAAATCAGTCTAAAAATCACTGCTGTGAGATGGTACTTTAAGCTATAATTCCTTCCTTTCACATCCATTAATACACCTTATGGTTATCATCTCATGAATCAGTCAATGAAAATCATTAAATAACCTAAAAATAATAAGAGAAAGGTTAGATTGTTTGATATAACTGACAGATTTTTTCTTACATGGTTTCATAAGAAATATATTTATTTTTGGCAGTTAGTACACATAATACTTCTTGTCACAAATTACAATAATAAAGAATATGTGCATAAGTTGATGTAGCAGACCATCACTTGTTATGTATGGAAGTATCAAAGAGAAGAGCATTTCCTTGAAGAAAAGTACATTTTTAGGTGTTCTTTACTATCTAACATGAAACATGAATACTTTATGGTCCCGTCCATATGTCATGTTTTTCACAGGGGAACTGAACCTGCATGACTGGGGGTCACTGTTCCTATAGAGTTACTAAACCAGCTTGGCCAAGATTTACTGTTCGTATGGAGGCAATCAACCTGCTTAAGTTGGATGGGGGAGTGAGTATACCTGGAAGTAAATAACCCGCAAGACATTTTTGAAAGAATGACCTACAGGATTTAGTGTGAATAACATTTGAAATGTTAGTGTACTCCAAAGAGTACTCCTTTCCAGTATTGCTGAAACTGTGTACACCATTTGTCATAATCATAAAATCGATATGATGAAAAGTTCAGTTAAATGATTAATGGAACACCAAATTAAAACATGATAAATAAAGGAAGTCAAATTACAAGATACACAGATGCCACAAATTCACCGAAGAAGTTCAAAGTGTGAGGAAATATGTCTCTGCATTATCTAGCTTTCTCTAAATATACCAAATAAGTGTTTACTGCTCTCTGGGAAAGTACACACTGCTTCTGGTAGGATCTGAAAATAGTCCTCATATCCTTATTAATAGTGAAGATAAAATTAATCATACACACCTAAGTGTAAATTGTTTCACACAAGCTTGAACACTTTTACATATACAAATTCAAGTTTCAGTACTTTGTTAAGACCACTTCATATGCTGAATATTATACACACATAATGTGCAAGATAATCTCATGGCTGCTTACTATAAAAATTCACATCAACATAATACTAATATACATCAATAATATTTCAATCCTCAGCACTGCACACTGCACTGAACAGTAATGTACCCATAATAAAAATAATATATATGTAAATATTTTTGACATTATTTATCCACATCTATCTCAACAGTCTTAGTTTAGAACTAATACTGAAAATAAATTTACATTTTTATTATCTTCACTCCTAGAAGCAGATCTAAACAAGTATCAATCCTACTATCACGCTCACTGTAATATTCTTAAGATGCCACTGTGGATGACTCAGAAATGATCATCAATTCTAGCAATTATTCCCATGTTTTTAAAATCCTGTAATACAAACAGGGCACAAGTAATAAAATTAAATATGTGATCGCAGTAAAACATTATTTAAATACAACTTAAAGTCAGATTACTGTATTTCCTCCAAATCAACAACAGAACATTACATAACTTATACACAATTTTTTAAACAAAATCATTATAATGAAATTACTTTCTCACCATTTTATAAAGTATACTGGCACAATGAAAGGATTAAAGAAAAGAGAAACATGTAAAGTGCAAAGTGTGGCCTGAGGTTTAGAGCTGTATTTTGAATGCAACCCTTCCCTGCTCAAGGCAAGCATGTGGGTGGCTGTATGTGACATAGGCACTTCTGGAAAACTAAAAAGACAATAGGAAGCTAACTAAATGAATGTCAGACCTATGCTCATGCAGTACACCTCCATTCCTGTTCATATTTCACATGCCTCCAGGTTTGGGGAGGTTTGTGTTGTATGCACGAATAACCTCTGACTGCGTCACTGCTCCTCCTTCCTCTTGTGAGAATGCAAATCCATCTGTAAAATTGTAAGAATCATAAAGTCACATGTACAACAAAGGGAATGGAACAAAAACACAAGTACACTAGACTGTAGGAAGTTACAGTACAGTGTTATCACAACTCCAGAGTTTTAAAGAACTCATTAAATTAAAGTGAGTGTTAGAATTAACCACAAACATTCAAATGCTTTTCAGCATATTTAAATATGCACTTCATTTAGAAATCCAACAGAAACTTTATTTCAATACACATGTGACCCAGAATTTTGATTCTTGTTTCTTCTTTCCTGTTGCTTTTAAAACATGTCCAGATATAAATCAAATTTGATCAAGAGACCATTAAACTGGGTAGCCTAATCAATCACATTTTATTAAGTGTATGTTCAGTGACAATGTTCCAATTTAAATTTAAATTCAGCAAATGTAAAAATTAAATGTGGCATGAATGAGAAGGTATGTTACATCAGTAAATTTTCAGAGTTTGGAGATGCTGTGGAAGCTTCTTTACACTTTTAACTTCATCCAGATTCACTCCCTTATAGTTGGGAGGCTCCAGGTTCAAATCTTGGTTCGCAGACTGCTATCCAGACAGAAGAGTTTTGTGACTTTCTTCAGTTCCTCCAGGCAAATGCCCAGATAGCATATTAAATTAGGTTATAACCATTTCCATCCATATCCTTTCCAATTCATTATTTATTAAACATTCTATCACTCAGTGATATATAGTGTGATCTACTAAGTGTCATTAAATAAACAATGAATAAAAATAAATTCATTTACATATTCCAATAGAGATGTAGCAGTTTTAGTCAGTTAATTTTCTTAACAAGTTCCATTTGTGGTGGATGGACATCCTAGAACTTTATCTAATTCATTACCCACCTTCTCCTAGCCTGATCTAACAAATTTATTCAAAAGCATACTAAAATGATCTGCCAAACATTAGTACTTTCATACACCCATCTACATGATCTTACAAATAACAATAGCAAAATTTTTCTGCAGCAAATGGCAACTGATCAAACTACTGTCAATCTATTATCTATTGTCAATCACCAGGGCACTCCATTCCGATGATGGAGCTAGTAAGCACTTCTGAAACGTCAGTAAAGTACTTCCAGACTATGCGATAAATCAATGAAGAAAACATCCATGTATAAGGTAATGTTTTTGAAAAGGACAAGAAAAGTGTGAGGTGCATGTGCAGTGTGTATCACCTTACTCCTCACTCCACACTAAGAACTTACAAGTAATCTGGTCCTTGGTCCCATGGTATATAAACATCTATGCAACAGGCCATTCACATCTAAGTCTGTACACCTGGTTACTTCAAAATAGGTAGTACACAGCAAAACAAATTTGTATAAATGGTTATTTATATACTTTTAGTTATCTTAAATACACATTATGATGCAACCTCTAAAGTTAAAATCTAGACACACACACAAAACAAAACAGCATGCAGTGTACTGAAAAGCTTGAAGTTGTGATGCAGCTAAATTATTTCTTTAGTATAAATACAAACATGAACAAAATATCTTCCAAAAAAGGCAAGGGTGAGCTAAATAGATCTCATTTATGAAATGTGCCAGTGCAAAAGACAGAACTTAAAGGGCCATGAAAGAATCTGGTTATACAGCAGTACTAACTAATTAAGTTGTGAATAAATGGATAATATGTTACTTAATGCTGAGCCAACTGAAGATATTACATATCATAGAATAATATGTGAGAATGACTTATCAGGGTAAAGATAAAATACATTACTCAGCAAAATATTTAATACAACTTACGGGAATCTGCATTGACTGATACTTTTTATCCTGATATTATGTAATACAAATACAGAGAATGCAAGACTGGTTTTATTTTTAATAAAAGCAGACCAAGAAGCAAGCACTTTTGCATCAGGTAACTATAATGGTTATAATTGCATAATGTGTAAGGAACTGGTACTGCCAGTTATAGATTTAATATACAAACTCAGTATAGGGCAATTACATGATCATTGATACTTAAAAAAGCGTTATGAAGAAGGTTTATATCATTAGAAAAGCAGAAGACATTGATAAGAATTTATTTTTATATCAAGGACTTAAAGTCTATTAAGCTTATGTGAAGTGCAGGTTTTTAATCATCATTATGAAGGAAATCTTACAGTTCAGTCTGTAAAACATATCAGCAAGGTATAGCAGTGGATGAAGATACGTGCATATGGCTAATTTTAAAATCCAAAAAAATCTCCTACTACTTCTGCCACATATTCACGTCTGTCTGCATTTGGTGGCAACATGAAATTATTTGAGAAATTACAGGTTTAACTTGTCACTTCCCTTACAAACATTTACCATTGAAAGTGTTAACATTTATTTACAGAACACAAGTATGACATACTTACGAGAGAGTTCCACCTCCATATTTACCCGTGTGGCAGAGCGTCTGGTGAATGTAAACACATTGCGCACATTTTTCAGAAGTCGTGCAGTTTCCGTCAATCTGGAAATATGATGACGAAGTGGGATTTCCCCCAGAAACAAACAAAGGGAACCCATCTTATGTCAGTCTCCAAACTGATGATAATAAATCTGCTGGTGCATTACATTGCTGGCTAGTCACAAACATAAATTAAAAACAAGCATTCACAAGCTGATGTTCAAAAGCCTTTTGTATCTACTATTCAGAGATATTCATTATCCAAGAATATACTAATAATGAAGTTAAAAATAAAACCTTCTCTTGATAATCAGCCATGTCAATTGGTTAAAAATCACAGACATTTCAGGGACCATCTCGGTCTCTATTATTAGGACTGTGATGTAACTGTATATCCACTCTGTCTCATATACGTACTTGCACATAGCATGTGTTTGAATCTAAGTGCAAGTCAATGAGGGGCTAATGTGTGTGGAGTCATGTGGAAGCGCGTGACTCCACACACTGGTTCATACTCAGATTCAAATAAAGACTCTGGACAAGCGCATATAAGGGAGGGTCAGGATACACAGTTATATCACAGCCCTAATATCAGGGACAGAGACTGTCCCTGAAACGTTGGTGATTTTTAACTAAGTGAAATGAATGATAGACTGAGAAGATTTTTTAATGTTAGTTCATACAACAAACTTGTTTTTCAAATCTTCCTATGTCTGCAAATATTTAGAATGTTTGCTCTTCACTACTACAGTTTATACTTCTAACACATATTATTATAAGACCTCCAAAAAATGAAGAACAACAGCTAGTTCTTAAATTGGACTGAGTAAGGTGAAGCTACTGGAACCATATATTTCAATAGTTAAGAAAATAAAGTTCAAATTAAAGTTGACTAATAATTTTTGCAGTTATCCTTTGATCACATTATATACACTAAAAATATACATTATCTTGAAATGACTGAAGTTCAATTTAGTAAACTTTTACTTTATGAACTGATGTGTTATTTTTACAACTGTCATGCTTCTTAAAATGATCTGTTTAAGACATCACAAAAATTCTAAAATGACTATGCAGAAACAACAGAAACAAGAAATGACAGTTTTTGAAATGTATTGTGTTACTTGCATGACTGACACTACCTGTGGAAATGATCCTTAATACACAGCACAATGGTTACGATTATGGGAATATATTGTCAAGTTTTAGATTATTTTACCTCAAACATTTGCTACATATTGCTTGGCTTAATTCAGAAATATTTTCACATAGCTTCCAAGGTACTTAAAATTTCTTATAAAACAATGAATCCCAAAATAAAGAAAGAATGCAAGAAATAATCTTGGGAATATCATGTATGTGAAAAATTATAGTGAATAATATAAGATACACAAAGTTCCTGAGGTCCTGTTTTTTTTTTTGTTACTGATAAAGAGTACTATTTAGTTTTTTGATCTGTCTTTTTCAAAACACTTCCAACTTCTATGAAATGCCACACTTTATACTAAGTTTTACTTTGGACAAGTTTTTGGATCACAATTTTTATTATTTGAAAGGTGAAAATACATTTTCAGCTGAGTTAACCTCTGATAAGACATTCCTCATGGAAACATATATGATGATGACCAAAATTTCACCATAGGCAGTATGACTTTTTTTTCCTGCGGTAGACAAATCACATTCGGCTAATCCTACAATATTGGAATAAGTCTGTAACACATTGATTGTGACAGTGTACAGAAGTGTTAAGAAGTTGCTGATGTGTACAAGATCAGTACATACTGACAAGTACCATTTGACATGACACTCTGAAGAAGGAAAAGTTCCATTCATATAAACTGCAACTATTTCAACACTTCACACAATAGGAAAGCCTGAATAGCAACCAGAACTTTGTGGTTTCCCAGTAAAACTAAAAGAATTTGGTGAATGAAAGAACTTGAGATACACGTGAAAAAAGAATCCACATTGGTTCTCTGAAAGCAAACAGCCTAGAATTAGATGAAACTGGTGTGGCTTATGAAATATGAATTTCAATTATACATTCTGTAAATGTACTCTACTGTAAATGAAGAAAGTTATTTGTATATACTAGATGGGATAATGCCACATGCCGATGAAACTGGAGATAAACCAGAATCCTTCACACAAGACACACCTCACCACATTATTTAGTCCATTTTATCACTAGCTAGATAGGACATTTCCAAGACACTGACAGGTAGAAGAGGGTTGTGAAATAGGTTCTCAGATCACCTGATTTAAATGCATTTAGGTTAGTTTCTGGGACCAAGTCACAGGTTTACACCATAAAAATTAAAAATGCATCTCATATCCAGCATTTAATTAAAGAAGTCTGAAATCCATCAATGAGCTTGTAATTTGTAAACCTTTAGAAGTAGCAAGTAAAGGGCCACTTTGTACCAATATAATGTGGGATAATTTTAAATGACAGCCATCATGTATGGTGGTGACCAAGTAAGTTGGCTCATCACTTGTGCACCCAACTCATATTTTGGAGGAATACAATTTGAATCTTGGCCAAGAATGAGGTGTAAGAGGATTTCTCTGGTTTCCCTCAAATGTTTCCAGTGAATGACACAATCAATTCCATATACTTTACACTTAACTGTGCATAATCATGGATTCATTTCAATTGATGATGCACATCTCAGAATATAATACAATAGGATTAAATATACTTAAAAACTGAACAGTCACACAACTCTCTGTCTGGATATACAACTATGCACCATGACTTTGCTGGCAGAAAATACATGTAACATGAAATGTTGATAATGAATTGCAAGATGTTTTTTCAATTCAGAACAGTGTATACAGTACTTCAGATGCCTCTGTTCTTAATGTAGCCACACAGTTAAACAATCAGAGATGATCTGGTTACAGAGGTGTGTCACAGAACTTTCTGTTCACCATGTGTGAATGTTCTGTAAATTTATGTACCTTGAGCATCGTAAGTGTATAACACAATAATACTGTCTTTACCAGCAGTTATGGGCTTGTCTATACAATCTAGAAAGCAATGTGGAAACAGAAAGGCAGGGGTCACCAACCTTAAAATTTAGTATGGGCAAAGTTATTAATATAAAAAACAACAACCACAAACTGAAATAATTAGAATACAAACAGATTTCTGCTTGTGTTCTTAACATCAAGACACTTTTGAGAACATTGCTTTGGCACACTCCATCCATAAAAATAACTTGCCCAAAGTACAGGTAATAAATAACTGTCTTAGAAAGTGTCACACCCAAACCCAATGATTAATATAAAATCTGACCACATCTTGAAGATTTTTAACTCCTCTGCTATGAACAGAGATTCAGTTCATATAGCAGAAAACACCACACATTTTGTGATCATCAATGATTATTCAGTATCCAATTATGAATATTTTTAGATTTTTGTAGGCTCCCACAAATCCTTCACATGGCTCCAAGGTGTCTGTAAAAATATGGCTGGTGATCCCTGCTATACGGCAATGCCCGTAATCTCATTACAGCTTTATTAATAAGTTCAACAAACAATTCTACAATTATTTGCTTCTACACAGTTCTCACTCAGATGATGATTACACTTCAAAATGTGCACATTTAACCAAAGATCTAACACTCCTAATGACAAACCCCAGTACTTAATTTGACCCTGAGCCAATTCAATTCAGCTCTCATCCTTACAGCCACGTAAAGAAAGAAGTACTATGTATCCAAAACCTCTTTAACAGGGGGGAGAGGAAGGGAACTCCATCCACCCAAAGAAGGCAGTTTCAACATAAGTATTGAAGATATCATCTTGAAACTCTGACACTAACAACAGCACAAGCTATCAGAACATATACACAATTATTCACTAATGGCAGCAGCAGTAATACAACAAGTTCCATATGATGGCCAAAAAATATGGTATCCAGGTGCAGCACCTAAAAGGTCTCAAAATGACCTCTTGACACTTTCTGTAATACCAATCAGCTTTTTTACCTGATAATACAAACAATATTACTCTACCGAATAATATGTAATTAAGCAGAAATTTAATTCCAGCTCAAACACTGGAATAGCACAGATTTACTTTTTTAAACAGGGTACTTCAATATGGGACCAGAAATTCATGTGACAGAAACATTAATGTATGGAATTAAGACCAGATGTCTCAGTTACAGTTCTGCTTGACTTCCCAATAACTGAAGTTTAAAATCAGATCACTGAGTAGTACATATCAAGGACTGGACAACCAAAAATAGCAACACAAATCAACAACACACCACAATCTACATAACTAAAACTAAAAATATAAAACATATGCACACTGATTTAAACAGTAGCAGTGCAAATAAGTAAGCATATGCATTAAACTTGCGCACATTTCAAACAAAAAACATGCTTTTTCTTCTCTCATTCTGTAATTGTGTTGACTCATTTGTTCATTAATACTTACACCTTGAGAGCTGTCCCAGAGCATGCAATGGGCTGAGGAACAATGATGAGAGGGAGAGAAAAGATATGACAAATTACAAACAAATCAACATTACAACATGATAAGTATGTATATTTATGTTGCAAAGAACAAATTAACAAATAAATTTCTTTATTTCAAATAAATCTAAGTTCTTCTGAAAGTCCAAAACTCTGTTCACTTTCTACTCCTAGTATTTCTAACTTAAATGGAACTTACCCTGCAACCAAAACAAAGTACTACATTCTGTAAGATTTGAAGTTTTCACAGCGGTGAGTATGAAGATTTCTGTCTTCTGCTACATTCTGTTTCATATTCTTTTTTATTCTTTGTGTTTCTCCAGACATGGTTAATGATTCAGAGAAATACACTCACAGAAAACTAGGAACTGAGGAAAGGAAGCACATTAAAGGAGTGTCAAATGATTAATACTTGTAAATAATCAGCTTCTTACTATGACTGATTAATTTACAAATTAAATGGTGAATCAATCAGTTAACAGGAATGTAATTTTCCATAAAGAATAATAGCTAATTTAATATTATGTGAACTTGAAACATGTATTTTGGAAACAAGCTATGGTAGGATGG